GATTCCTGCTTTGCAGCAATGAGTTGTGGCACTGCTGGAAGATTTACGTCCATATCTTTCAGCTGAAGCCCAGATATGTGTGTATTGATCCACTGCAATTCTGTGCCATGATACTCAGCAGAATACAGTCAGACTCATGTTTTTGGATGACTTGAGAGAACAGCTTTATTATGGGTCTCAGAAGGAATGTGGCTAATAGAACCCGTGTAGACCTGTGTTACCAGGTTGTGGTACTGCATGCTCAGATCCTGTGTCTTCCCATTGTGACAGCCCTGGAACTTTTGCATCTATAAAGCACAGTAGAAAGACTAGAGTTGAGACAGAAAAATGGCTCTGTCCTGATTACATAGCAGGGATTCACGTGCTTTGAATGAGAAATGCTTTGTGTATGTCTATGACAAGCCAGAGGGAATTAATAACTCCTGGAAGGCAGAATGGGAGAAGAGGGTAGAAAAAGAAATTGGGTCATATTTTGCTCTATGTAAAGGCAACAGCAAGAGGAAAACAAACATGAATCTGACTTCTAAAGCAATGCAGCTACATTAACACAAGAGAAAAATAGGTTTATATAGGTTTCATTGCCTGTTCCATCAGTAGAAGTACATACAGACAAGGTAAATGTCATCATCTGGCTGTTTCTTGGATTCTGCTAGTGTCCATGAATAACACTTGAATAACTTGAATAACAGCTTGAATTTAAAAAGCCACAGATTCTGATGCACCATTTTTATTCATCTATTTGCATGTTGGAAGGCAGAGGGAACACAATTCACAAATGGTGAACGAGTTTATTAGAGGGCCATGCTTACTCTTTCCAGCTTTACTGGCAAAGTAAAAATAGCTAGGAAAAGATAATTGAAATGTTCTCCACGAAACCCTGCTGCTCTTCCCTGCAGTTCTCACATGCATCATTAACCCACAGAGCCAAATCAACCAGCCAGTTTTCCTCTGGCTTTACCCGTGGTGGAGCAGAGATCCAGGATCCCCCATGGGACCCACTGGTGCAGCACTTGCTTTGGATCGTACAGGGCTGAATTGAAGCAGCACTGCTTCTCCCCCACAGAGATCAGTGCTGTAGCTGAGGGTGGCCACTGAGAGAGCTTTTAGACCTCCCTTAGGATTTCTCTGCCTAATGGAGTGATGATACAAGGCGAGGAGGAACAGGGGATAGGATGGAGAAGATGTACCTTACATCTGAATATCGTGTTTGGATTTGTTTCTGGCATTCTCAGTCATGTTACAGCATTGCAGCGCTAGCACACCGTGGGGACATGGTCCAGTTCCATCTCCAGGCATTTCAGTAGTGAAATTGAATTGTTAGATCCATCACTTGATTTCCAGTGAATGAAATATGAAGAAAACAGCGCAGCCCATTCCAAGGCATGTGGTCCAGTGGTGTGCGTGTGCCTCTGTGCTGAGGTCTGCTGCTGTGTGGCTGAGAGCAGAGAACAGGGCAGGAGCATCTTTGTTTCTGTGATCCAGATCACAGAACATTTGATCAAATTGTGAGTGGAAATCATGCATAGCTTCCAAAATTACTTCTGCTTTCATGGAGTCAAATTTTGTGATACTTTTTCCTTACCTGTTGCATCTCTGTAGTAAAGCTCTGCCTCGGAAAGCTCTGAGACTCAAATGCTCAGTGGTTATCTGAGTTTGTCTGAATGCTTTTCACTTAAAGGGCAGTTGGGGGTAGTACCACAGAAGGACTTTGATGTAGCAGGGTGTTGGTAATTGCCTCTGGAACAGGGTGTCCAGACTCTGCTCAAATGTGTTGTGTGAGAAAAGCCCTTGGAAATATATAGACCAAACATTTGGATAGCTTAGACTGGTGAAAGATATGGCTATGGAGGTGATGGCTCTGCACCCCTCCTTGCCTGGATTCTTTTTTGGGTTTTGCCTTGGTTATCTAAATGTCCCTGGGGAGTCTGGACTTCAGTAACACCATTTAGATTGTTCAGTTCATTAAATATTTCATCCAAAGAATGGTAAGTTAGGGAAAACTGTTGACAGAACTAGAAGTAAGGGAATGCTTTCAAATTTAATGTTATCATAGGCATTATTCAACCCCCATTGGGGTAATTAGATTACTGCTAATGATAGGTATTATTTTAGCATTGTGATACAGATGGGATTAAAGGAGAATTGTGAAAATTCCCTGAGATCAAGTCAATTTTAAAATACTTACTGGAGGAAATGTTAGAATCCAAATCTTCTGCCTCAGAAGATGCTCAGGCACTGATTTGATTAAGAAAAAAGTTGTGTACTTTCTGATCCCTCTAGAATCACAGAATCACTCAGGTCGGAAAAGACCTTAAAGATCATTGAGTCCAACCACAACCTAACCATACCACCTAACTCTAACGACCCTCCGCTAAATCACATCCCTGAGCACCACATCCAAATGGTTTTTAAACACATCCAGGGATGGTGACTCAACCACCTCCCTGGGGAGCCTATTGCAGTGCTTAACAACCCCTTCTGTAAGGAAGTTTTTCCTGATATCCAACCTAAACTTACCCTGGTGCAATTTGAGGCCATTTCCCCTCGTCCTGTCACCTGTCACCGGTGAGAAGAGATTATTAGAGAACCTCTAATACTGGTTTGTGCAAGCTGTTCCCATTTGGGAACTCAAAGCTCTCTGATCTCCAATGATCTGCAGCTGGCACTTTCCTCCAAGTTCAGTTTGTCTCAGGCAAGAAGAGAAGTGCATGTGAGGTTTTCACATCCAGGCGAAGACCTTTCAGCAGGGGAAGGACGTTACATCATCCCACTGCTGGCGTTGTTTTGGAAAGCCTGTTTTGTGGACAAGTGCTGAAAACACGTGTTCAGCCTAAACACAGGAGCTCCCACACAGGAGCACATTTCAGAATCCAAACCCTGTGTCTTAGGTATTCTGGACCTTCTGAAACCCTCCCGGGTACAAGAAGGATGCCCAGGAGCTTTCCAGAACAGTGAACCTTCAAGACATTTTTCTTCTCCAAAATTTAGTAACAAAATAAGAGAGATTTGTCTTTTTCTCTTCCTGTTTCATTTCCTAATTAGTAATTGTCTATATGGATAACAATTCTGTCCCACACCAGTGTGTTATCTAACTGGTCTGGAAAATCACAGGCCAGGAAAGAGATGGGACTAGACAAGCAGAAACAACCAACCAATGTTTGGTCACTCATAGAACTGAGCACTGCAGAAAGGCCAGGCAGGCATGGCTGGCCTTGGTTTTGGGTGAAAAGGGTAAAGCAGGATACAGTGTGCAAAGAGGGGGTACACTTTTCAGTAGCACCATTGCAGCAGCAGAAAGGGACTGCTTGCCCTAATGTGTAAATTCTTCTCCTGGGCATGGGGCTTCCAAGGCTGCTGAGGAACCCACTGACCTGCCTCTGATAATCCCCATTACATTCCTTTGCTCGTTTTTGAGACATTCAGTGGTAACATGTGAGGCAGCCTAAACTACGTGTATTCCATCCTGCCAAAACTGGGTGCTTGTCTTCCAGAATTGTGTCTCCCATTTCCACTTGGCTAAGACCAGTTTAACGTGGAAGCCTACAAGGCTGTTTCTAAACAAGTTTTGATAGTGTTTTTTAGTTGTTCTGAGCTAAAAATAATACAGATCAGCAGGTACAGACTGGAGAAGTGTCCTCAATCCCTAAAGGACCTTTTACTGCATTTGCTCCCTAGAGGGAGAAATAGAGGGAAAAAAAAAAAAGGCATCAATCCCATTTGTTCCCCTTAGAAGGCTGTAGGTGCCTGAAAGGCAGTGGCCTTTCTCAACTGAGAAAATTCACTGCCCTGTTTGTGATGAAAAAATTAGGAGGATGGTTTTCTCCGTTACATGCCATCAATGTTACATGACTGACATGAGAGAGAGACGCATCTTGCTGATGCTCCTTTAATGGGGTGAGATGTTTCCCCATGACTATTTAGAAATTACCATCAGCACCTCCAGCCACCAACCCCTCTTAATGCCACTTCTCAGCCATTTTTAGAGGTGAACTTCTTCACTGCAGCCCAGTTCTTTGGTTCTGGCACTGCATTTCAGTGATGGGAGAAGCAGCCAAGAGCCAGTGGCTGGATGTTGACCCATACAAATCCAAATGGGAAAACAGCCATGTTAGCAGCAAATGCTGACCTTAACAAAATGCCACTGGAAGAGGTACAGTGTTCCCATCTCTCTTGTTGTGCCTCCAAACTGCATTCCTGAAAAGACACAGGAAGGAAATGAGCATTGCTGATACCTCTTCTGTGATAACACAAAGTTCAAAATACAAAGAACAGCTGAAATCCCACACGTGATGGTCATTTGAAACACTTTGCAGTTACGGCGATCACTAACAGCAGGTATTAAAGATGAGCAGCATGGCCTCACGTCCTTTAACCAAATCTCAGTTTTCACCTTACCTACTTGTATTAAGTTACCAGCAAAAGAGAACACAGTTCTGATTTTTCACGGTGAGGATTATTTTATGAAACAAATTTTCACGACAAGGAGCCCACACATGTTCTTGGTTGCAGCCATCATAGAGCTGTTTTTGCCAAGCTGAATGAAATACTATTAAAATTCGGCTTGCTTGCTGTATTTCATAGTCTGAGAATAAGGCAGTAAATAATAACTGCTGTAAATGTAAATGCTTGGGCATCAGGTACCTGATTTGAAATAGTTTCTAACGCAGTGTAGATCAGGTGAGAGTGAGTCTGGCTCACAAGTCTGGCTCTGGTGCTGAGAGCACCACCTCCTTAGCACTGCGCTATCACAAGCTGCATCTTTCAGTGCAGTTTACTGCATAAAACAGGATTCAATAGCCCCAGCTCATTACAACCTGGGAGCTGCTTCCCCTGAGGAACACAGGCAGTGAGGTGAACTGCAGCATGGAGCAAATGGGACCGGAGCCAGAGGCAGCTCCACTTTCAGATACCGTACCTCTAATGGCGGCATTGAGTTTAGGCCGCTAGGTTGAACTTCCGGGGCTGAAAGCTGGAAACCTTTTTATTATTTTATTTTGCAGTTCTTTCCGTATGGAGACGCTTCCAAGTTTGCCCAGCACGCCTTCCGAACCTTTGATAAAAACGGAGATGGGACCATCGACTTCAGAGAGTTCATCTGTGCACTGTCCATCACCTCCAGAGGCAGCTTTGAGCAGAAGCTAAACTGGGCCTTCAACATGTACGACCTGGATGGTGATGGGAAGATTACAAGGGTGGAAATGCTGGAAATCATAGAGGTGAGAACAGTGTGGCACTCAAAAAGAACACATCTGATCATCAGTAAAGTTCAATTACATGTTCACAAATCTAGATCTTAAACACACGAGGCTGTGTGCTCTATCATTAAAAAAGCACATTCTATACATTTATCTGATACTGACACACACAGTAAGTGATTTAAACACACTAATTTTAATGGACGTGTCATCGCTGAGAGTTGCTGTGAGTACCTATGCGCACGTGGGCTTTTAAATATTCAGAGATACATTTGTTTGCCAATGAATGAATTCAACACAAAAACAGCATAGCAAAGGATTTGCAAAGCCCATTGCAAAACCACCCAACATGCATGAAATTCCTGCTAAGGTTTCTGCCTGAGTGGCTGAAGCCTTAATGGAGGTTAAGTTATTGCAGAAATGTACAGAGATAACAGCAATCTGTTCACTAACGGACCAAAAGATTTAAGACAACTATTTTATATAAGGAGAAGTATAAAGCTCACTTCCCCAATCTCTGCCAGCTCCTAGCCACAGTGGTTACTTCCAGGCTTTGCTCATATGTACACATGGCAAGCTTTTCAAAGGAGATGACTTCTAAAACTGTTTATTCATCATTTCCACGGAATTTCTCAAGGGAGTCACTAAAAACCAAACAAACCTTTCACCAGAGAATAGGTTACCACAGTTTGGTGCTGTAAAACCAAACAAATTTACTCCAGCATGCAAAATGCAACCACTAAAAGAAACCTACACCTGAAGAAGAAAGTAAAATACACCCTTCTGTGTTTTCAGAGAACAGATTTCAGACTCCATGAAAAAGAAAAATGCTCAGGGAAGCTGGCAATCACTTTATTGTTAGAACATCATTCTGGAATTTGAACACATTAAAAAAATAAATGAATAAAGTCAAATAAAATCAAGCTAATCCTTACGTTGACTTTTCTATTTGGTTTCTTTCCAAAGGCCATCTACAAAATGGTAGGCACTGTGATAATGATGAAGATGAATGAGGATGGCCTGACGCCTGAGCAGCGGGTAGACAAGATCTTCAGTAAGATGGATAAGAACAAAGACGACCAGATCACACTGGATGAATTCAAAGAAGCTGCAAAGAGTGATCCTTCCATTGTATTACTCCTGCAGTGTGACATTCAAAAATGAGCTTGTGTATAATTCATCATAGACTGCACAGAAGTTTAATGTTCCATTCAGTTTGCAGCTATTTCCACACACACAGAAATTTGCTTGGACTACCTATAAATGGACTTGCTTCTTGTGTTTGAAACACTTGTGTGCATGAGAATGTCATTTGCTAAAGAATTTTAAAAGTATATATTATAAAAATAAACTGCCACAACGTGATGTGTGCAATGTCATTTCATACCAACCCTATTCCTCTGAAGCCTGTGCAGCAGTCCTGTGCTGCAGTGAATTATATTATTTATTGTTCATGTTTTACTGATGCTAGCTCTGTGTCTCCTAGACTGAGTAATGTTAGTGACACTGAATTCCCATGGTAATGTTAATTGTTTATTATAAACCATGCCACCATTCTGCTGTAAAGTAGTATTGGACAGACAGAGGGAAGAGTTCCTCAGTTCTTGAGTCTGATCCACACATGTGCTCGTATTGTCAGTGGATATAAATGTACTTCATTTGCATGCCTTTTAGGTTTGCCTTAATTCTTACCTCATTTGCATCCCTTCAATCTGGAAAGAGCTATGTCAGAGGAATGCAGTATAAAAAAAGCAAATCCTGCTAAAATGTTCCCCTTAAAAGTCTATATAAATATATATATATATATAATGTTTAAAATATTGTTTTATTGGAAGTTTAAAGGTTTTATTGGAAGTGTATTGATCTTTGCCTGAATTTTCAAAAGCTTCCACAGAGGTTGCAATATATATGTCCCAAATAAATTTATAACATTTGACCTTTTCCCCTAATTCTTATTTCACGTCTTCAGCATGGTAATAGAAAAAGAAAATCTATAAGTCTATCTTTACTTATCTGTCACTGTACTACTGGGAAATATATATATTTCGTTATGGAAAGCATGAAGAAAACTTTGCACTCACTTGGTATAAGAGTCATGTTATACAAAATGAACAGTTGTAGTGCTTGTATTTCCAACAGAGCAGCTGTTTATCCTCTAAGATGTTAATGCTAAAATTAACAGTATACCTACTAGACCTGTGCTTCATCACTTTTTCAGCTAGCTGGAAGACAAATACAGTTTATTTGCTTGGCCTTACCCTGGTCTTTTAATGTTTCTCCCACCTGAAGAGTTTTTCCACTTAGAATATGACATGAAACCACCGCAGGCTTTATATAAAGAAATACTGTCAAAAATTTTGGCCGATAATTTTACAATATGATAATTGAGAAGGGTTCAAAGAACAACCTTTGTTCTCAACTCTGTCTGCATCAACTAAGGTTATGCCTGTAGTGTGGCATGTATGAGTTCTGCACAGCCCTGGGAGAGCATAGAGAACACTTGCAGACTGCAGATGATCCTCCTTATACCAGGTTTCCCAGTTGCTTTATACAAAGTCAACTGTTCATAGTTTTACCCACAAAAAAGCCTGAAAGGCTGACAGTTGCATGTTGGATATTTCTACTTTGCCATGAGAAATAAGGCCGTAATAGCTAAAAATCAGACAATAAAGCATGGCACAAAACAAATCATTGTCTGCAATTTCAAATCTAAACGGCAAGGGAGGGAAATCAGTCGTGACCACAATCACAGACATCCCTTCCTATTTATTTTTTCCTCATATTCCAAAGAAATAGGAAAACACTGAAGTTTCAACTATTTTTTTTTAATACCAGAATTTTACTTAGCCTACACAGGTAGTATTCTTGCCAAAATAGTGGTATACTTTGTATGTTTGGCTGTAACTTAAAAATAAAAGTTCTGAAACTGTAACATACTCCTGAGTACGATATGCCCGTTGTTTCCATGTAGGCTAAAATTACCAATGGTAGAGAGAATGTTGAATAATCTTGGGATTTTATGCCTCTTTTGCTTACACATGCTTATAAGGGCTGCCGTGCATCATTCCACATTTCCCTGCACCTTACATCTACCCAAGTGGACACCCAAGCTCCGTTTACTTGAAGAAAACATTAAGGATTGCACCGCCATCCAAAACACCTACAGCTCAACCTAGACTCAAATGTAATAGCATCACACAAGTCTCTCTGGGTAGCTGGTACAGGAAACTCAGAGCCAAGAATGAGATAGCTCTGAGGCCTGAGAAGGATCACTGCAAAGTAAGTATCCAAGCAACTGTTCCAGTCTTGGTTTACTCAGAGCTAATTCACAACCATGAAAATAGTTGCCTGTAATTATTATACAGCCAGGCACAGATTTTCATCAAGCACAGTGCTAGATTAGAACACAATATATGATTTGAATCAAAGACTGGAATCATTGCCAACTGGTCCAATATTTCAAGCCTGTAGAAAACTTCAGAGCAACCTCAAGTAGCTCAGTAGAAATGTTGTGATATTCCTTAATCTCTTTTTCCCCACAAGTCATTATAAAAGAACTATTGAAGATAAAGGTTTTCCTCTGCCTCTGCACTCTTATTTTTAGGAAGCTGAAGAAAATCAGGAGGAAATAAAGCTACTGAAGCATTCGAGTTCCATCATAAAACCAAGTCACTCTGAAGGTGTGTTTCAATACCACGTAAGAGTATCGATTTCCAGAAAAACACAAATTTGGCTCAAGTTCCAGGAAAGTTTCGCCGCAGATGCAGTTTGTATGTCCCATCTCCCCCCCTGCTGCCAATGTTCTCACACGGATACTTACAACTTGCTTATGACCTAAGCATTTATCATCACATCACAGGGTTACAGAATCATTCTTTGGTAGGAGCCTCCAGAGGAGCTTACTCTTTGCTTGAAGGAGGTGCAGTACTATTCAGACCCCAAAAGCCTGCAAAGGAAGGAGGCCCTACAGCCTGGCAGCACAATGTGTTTAAATGCCTCCTACCCCATTGTGAACAGTCCCTCTTCCCCATTTATCCCGTCAGAAGCTCAACACTGCAATTCACAGCCACTGTCTCCCATTCTCTTGCCACACACTTCAGTAAGCAGCCTGGCACTGTTCTGCCATTACCTCCTCTTGCATAGGGCAAGCTTGCTCACAGTCTGCTGTCCTATTCTCCTCAGCTTTCAGAAGTAAGCATCTGAAGAAGTATTTAAAAGATGAGAAGACTTCATTGCTGGAGTTTCAACCCACCAAGAAAACCAACAGCAGTTCTAGAACATTTCCTTCAGTCCACAGCTATCTTCCTTATCTTTGAGACATCCACAAATTTAATGGTGCTCGAGAAAAAGCTAAACGACATTAAAGAACACAAAGTACCACTTTGTAGCCAACTATGATTTTTGCTACTAAGTCAATTTAAAACTTAAACTGCAGTGGTATTTTACTGAGGAGCTGCTACTTGCTAAATAACTCCAGTAGTAACGGCAAAACTGTTCCTTGAACAGTTTTAATGACTCCTGTAATGTTAAAAAGAAATTTAGATATATATGCCTGGCAGCTGAACTCTAAATGAATTGTTTCTGAAGAGCTCCCAGTAATTGCAAGTTCCAGGAGAGAACTGGAGGGTAATAATTTGGGGCAGTTTGGAAAATCTGTTTTTTCTTTCTCTGTCCATCCCCTCATTAAAAGTCACTCAAGTACAGTACCAGGAAAAAAAGAAGCCAATAGTTTAGAAGTTTCTATACTCTCTCTCAAAAATCTTCCACTACATTCCTCCACGTTGAAGGACCTCCATCATTTCATTTTGTTACAATATAATGAATGCCTGCAAACTCAGTCTGTGCAAGAATGAGAATTAAGAATCATAGAATGTCCTGGGTTGAAAATGACTACAATGATCACTGAGTTTCAACCCCCCTGCTATGTGCAGGGTCACCAACCAGCAGACCAGGCTGCCCAGAGCCACATCCAGCCTGGCCTTGAATGCCTCCAGGGATGGGGCATCCACAACCTCCTTGGACAGCCTGTTCCAGTTTTTCTATGTGAAAAACTTCCTCCTAATATCTAACCTAAACCTACCCTGTCTCAGTTTATGGCCATTCCCCCTTGTCCTATCACTATCCACCCTCATAAACAGCATATACAGACTATATAAAGAATATAAAAACAGAATATATTAAAACATAACTTGTTTCTCTAAGCTCATCTTTAAGGACAAACTATTCCCTACAAGCTGTTGGAGAACGAACACAGTCCCTTTTTCCTGCTCTGAGAATACAATGCAAAGAAATCCTTCACTCTTCTGATTATGAAAATCCACACTACTCAGAAATAATTGTTCACGTTCAGCTGCAGTGTTTCTACTGCAAGAACATAAGTCAATAAATAGAGTTTTATGCCACGTGTGAACTACCACACGTTCAAGAAATAAAGTAGAACCAGAAATAAACCAAGAACTTTAACTTAAGGCCAATCTTCAGAGCACAGAGACACTAAAGCATCATTGCAAGCAGTAGTTCTGGAGTTCTGTTTATTAAAATATAACTTTGCAGTTACACAAAATTCATGTCATATTTCTCTTCCATCCACACTCTCCCCCCATAAACAGAAACACTCAAATAGTTGTTTGTTAAAAGTATGAGCTGAGCTATAAGGATTTTAACCAGGAAAACCTTGTGCTATAAAAACATATACAAGTACTTCTAAAAGTAAACAAATAAAATATGAAATACAGAAGCTTCTTTTCCTGAGGGTACATAAGAAACGATCCTCTTACCCAACACTAGGAAATAGCAACTTTACAGACATCAGTGAACATTTATCCCCAATATTGTGCCATATTCTCATGTCTTATACTTAATCATCTTCCTCTTCTTCGTTCCTGTTACGGAATGACAATGTTCTTTGGCCTCTTTCAGGATCTTGCATTCGGAGGATACGAATACGGGAACTTACAGGCAGAAAACTAAAAATAAAGCATGCATGATTTAAACAGGGCACTTTCTTCACAAATTTTTCCATTTGATTCTCTCTTTTGCCTTTAAATAACTGTATCTTTTTCCTTCGACCATTTTAAAACATAAACATCAGGCTTCACTAAACTGATAGCAGAACTTCAGATAAAGATCAATTTCAATCCTGCAATCTCTAACAATAAGACCACCTGAGTTACAAAACAGGTACTTTTTTAAGAGAAGCTCCAACTGAAATAACCATCAAATGCAGTTCATATTTGCCTTACATATCCTGATATGGCACATATTCTTACAAGTATACCTTTGCCCTTTCAACTCTTTGAAAGGGTAGATAACAGCAGGATAAGGGGAAATGGTTTTAAGTTGAAGGATGGAACATTTTGGTTGGATGTCAGGGGGAAGTTCTTTACTATGAGAGTGGTGCTGGAACAGGCTGCCCAGAGAGGTTGTGGATGCCCTGTCCCTGGAGGTGTTCATGGCCAGGTTGGATGGGGCCTTGGGCAGCCCTGGTATTAAATGTGGAGGTTGGAGGCCAAGACTGTGGAGGGGGAGTTGAAGTTTCATGATCCTTGAGGTCCCTTCCAACCAAGGCCATTCTACAATTTTATGAAGTATATTTACTCACCATCTAAGAATAAAGTCACTAACCATACATTTATACTAGCTTCTCCACTGATAATTCTTAATGTACTTTTTCTGGAGGTGGCTCCACACAGAGAATTGTTACAATTCTATTGAACAGATTCAGAAATTCCCTCCAGGTATTTCCATTAAATACTGTATTAGGAGGGAAAGACAATTATAATTCATTAACCTC